TTTGTTCATTAAACTTTGCAATGAAGGTCAACGGTCTATAAAATTGGCAAAATAAGGGAAAATGTAGATAAGTACGATTAAAAGAAACTCTCACAGAATATCAAATCTCTTGGTTACATTAACAAGCCCGATTATTGTTCTATCGTTCGATAGTGAAATTTGACATGATCCTTAACGAGTTGCATATGTCATGATACAATTATTTTTTATAGGAACAGAATACAAAAAGAGTTTCATCTCCGCCATGTTATACTGCCCTCACACATACCTCGCGACCTTACTGCGTCCTTACTGCGACCTTGCTACGACCCAGGACGCAGCACAGTCGCCATGGACGCAGCAGGGACGCAGCGAGGTCGTAGCGAGGAACCCAAGGACGCACAAGGTCGCAGACCGTCGGCGACTATTTTGAACATGCACAAAACAGTCGCAGAAACTCTGCGTTCTTGCTGAGTCCTGGTTAGGTCGCCGTGGGATCGCAGTGGAGTCACCATAGTCGCAGCAGCATCGTAGTAAGGACGCAATAAGAACTCAATAGACGTAGTACACTCGTACTAAGGACGCCGTAGAGTCACCGATGAAATTACAAGAAATTGCTCGGAAACCTTTGGCGACGCTATTTCTACACACTGTGAACCACTACCAAACTGCATATCTGAAGCGGCGACTGGGTCAACTTGTAGCACTTTAGAGACCCTCGCTCTTTTGCCTCGTCCGCCTCTCATCTTTGGAATAATATGGATGATTTAACTTAATACTAATTAAATATACGTCTTCACTCGTTGAAGGTCAGACTCAGAATGAAATTCACTGGTAAAAAGTATTGTTTTTATAGACGTAGCAAGAACGTTTGTTTGTTTGTTTGTTTCATTTTACGCCTTTTTCAACAGTATTTCAGTCATATAGGCGGGTAGTTTCCTAACCATCGTTCCTGGAGAGTTACACCAGTACTAGACTACCTTCCTCCGCGCTAAACTACCAAAGCATCTCCCGGGGATCGAACCCACGCCAGAGAGGTAACTGGATTAGAAGTCATCGACTCTAACCCCTCGACCACGGAGGCGGTTAGCAAGAACGTAGTAGGGTCGTCGTACAGTCGCAGGACAGTCGCCGGACAAACGCAATAGTCGTCGTAGAGTCGCCGTAAGGACGCATAAAACATAGCACAGTCGCAGCTGGGTCGCCGATGATCGCCGTGGGGTCGCCTTGGGGACGCAATACAGTCGCAGTGGAAACGCCATGGACGTAGAAGGGTCGTATTGAGGACATAGAGAAAACGTACTGAACACAAGACTGCAGAGCCCCGGACCGTCTGCGAGAGAAATTTGAAAGAAAACCAACGATTTTCGAAAGAAAAATGCTATTTTACTAGTTTTCAGGTCGCAGTAAGGTCGTGGTTTATGTGTGAGGGCACCTTTAAGTGAGGTGTTAGTATATGTAGGCTTAACATAAACAAAACACTGGATAGATGGTAATCCTGCAAGATTTCTTAAAGATATTACTTACATTGTGAATTCATCAACAGAGGATATGAAAATTGCTAGATGAAAATCTTTGCACAAAAGAAAAATATGTTAGTTGTTGTGAATCACAGATCAGTAAGTATTTTATTGTTTGGTAAGATTTTCGACTGGGACGTGCATGTAGAAATGGAGTCATTTTTTAGAAAAATAATTTAATTTACGAACATCATTCTGGATTTTGAAAATGTCATTAAACTGACACGTGTCTTATTCAACTACTTGAATGGATCCGTAAAAATAACTCCAAAGAGTTACAAATAACATTTGATACCAGTAGTGTCATTCCAGTGGCGAGCGAGAGTTGTGAGCAAGAGCAGTTTAGGTTTGGGGATTATGACGTAAATGTTAATCTTTTGAAGTGGTCTTCGAGTGTACTTGAGAGGTAGAATATCCTTTTGAAGTGGTCTGCCAATGTACTTGAAAGGTAGAATATCCTTTTGAAGTGGTTTTCAATGGCACTTGAAAGGCAAAGTGTGTCCTTTTAAAAGATGTTAATTAAAATAAAGATGGCGGATATTTTTGCATAATTAAAAATAAAAATGGCGGCTAGTTCCGTAGTGAAAAACAAAAGATGGCGGATAGTTTACCTGGCAACCAATGGGGAGAGTGATGCATGAATGAGTGATTATAGGCAGTATGTGTGTGTATTGAAATGTTTTCTCAATAAACATTATTGATTAATCTCAATTTAAGCTTGGTTTATTACTTTAAACACAGAAATCCAGAATGCATGTTGGAGTTTTCATTACAAACATATTACGCTAAGGCAGTAGTGAACAAACTGGAAAAGCTCGCGCTTACTTTGTGACGGCTGCAAACACACGAATACCTGTCTCAGTAAAAACCACTCGTGCATGATGGTGGGCCGGGAAAGCAAGCTCGAAGTGATTCTCATTAATTTTATGGGACAGCTGATGGTTTTCATCAATTGCTGTTATTTTAAGATATGAAAATTCAACATGCAACCATGATTTCACCTTACATTTAAGGCCTTGCAGAATTGATATGTAAATAATATCGCATTACAGTTAAGGCGTAGCAAAATTGATATGTAAATAATATCACATTAGATTTAAGGCTTTGCAAAAAATGATATGTAAATAATATCACATAAGATTTAGGGCGTAGCAAATTTAATATGTAGATAATATCACATTACAGTTAAGGCCTATCAAAATTGATAACAAAATATGTTGTAAAAAAAAACAAGTGTGCATGGTTATATGGATTCATATGGTTTTATCATAATAAGCATGTATGATGAAAAAGACCTTAGCATGATTTAATACAGGGGCTGCATAAACATGCTCTGTTTAAACATGCTTTGACAGAATTTAGAGCTAGCCCTATCTCTCTGTGTGCTGTTACTTTGAAAATATATCTACATTGTATGTAAAGATTATGGTTGATATGATAATAATTATGAATTGGTAACTCAATATAGGCTATATCTATAGTATATTACATTTTTATAGCACTCAATGTAACCATTCCCTCATGTTTTTCTTAATAATGTTTTACCTGCTAGAAATGTTACATATATTACCTGCATGTATAGTTACTTGCCAGATTTTCTGAATTCTATAAAATTGACAATATTTTTTGGTTGTAAGATTGTATGGATTTGAGCAGATTAGATTAAATGGAAGCAGAAATGTTTTAAAACTTTGTTAGATATGCAATAAGAGTATTCACATTACAATCACATACAATCGTGGTATGTTTCTTTGTTAAAGCAGATCAGAAAAAACAAAAAATGGAAAAACTTAAAAGGAAATTAATGGTTTGATTAGATAGGCATTAAATATATACTATCTTTCAAAAACCTCCCCAAATATAAAGGGTTTAGGATTATTAGACTAAAAAAAATGTAAAATTTTTTAATTTAAGAAAGGGTGGAAACTTTTTAAAAAGTTTTTTATTTTAAAAAATTTTTGTGTTTTTGTAAATTTTAAGACAATGAAAACTTTTTTCAAAAATCTCTTTTTTTCTCTTAAAAGCTTCTTATTTCCCCAATTGTAATTTTGCAGGTATATAGATAAAATGACCCGACAACGTAAAAAAAATGGGTAATTTAAGTTATAAACATGCAGGGAGAGCAGACTGTTTCCAGAAACAGTCAGGGAAATTTGCACATTTGGTGGAAAAATTATTGATCTAAAAAACCAATATTTGATTTGTGGCAGATAGAAATTTGTACTTTTTGCAATCGTAATATTTATTTTACAGAAAACTCTTAAGTAAAATTGTATTTGTGGGTGAAAAACCAATATTGACTTATGAAACCCAAAATTAAAACTGGATAGATAAAATGTTTTTTACCTTAACTGTCCGTAACAACACCCAATTCTCCCGGAAAACCAGTCATTTTACCTGCGCTAAAAGCCAAATTTTGGCCCCTTAAAAAGCAAATGGTATCTTTGAGGAAATAGCTGATTTTTTTGATCAATTTTTTTGTGGTTTCTTGCTGAATTTGAAAAACTGTTCATACAATTTTTTTGATTTTGGGGGATAACCCTGAATTTTATATACCCCGTACCCTATTGAAGGGTTGTTTAACCCCAATTGGGCCCCTTTTTTTCCCCAAAAAGCAAAAAAAAACATTCCATTACTGCCATTTCAAATACAAATTTTACCAGTTCTTAAGACCCCAATTATGTTGGGCAATGGTAGATAAAACCCGGCAAGTGAAAAGGGGTAAGAAATTTTTTCAAACATAATTTTTTTTAAATATTTTTATTACAAAAAATTTGAAAAAAAAGTTTATGCAAAGAAAAGGTTTTGATAATGATGTTTTTGCCCGCTTTTTCCCCTTAAATTTTTTTTAAAATTTTTTTTGGCATTTTAACTTCTATAATTTCATTATTTTTTTGCCCTTTTCTGTTTTGTATATTTTTTCCATTAAATGTTGCGATCCTTGTAGTATTTCATAATTTTTCATATCATTTATTATAGAAAAACCATTTTTGAGGGGGAGATGTTTTGAAAAAAAAAAGGGTCCCTTTTAGAGAGGGGAGGGCATTTCAGAAGGGGGTCCATTATAAGAAAGGGGAGGTTCCATTAACATCTGTTAAAAATTGCTTATGAAAAACCTTTATCAAATCCATTGTTATTTGACACCGATTGTTTTGGATATTATAAGAAACCCTTCATTAGTTGTAAGTTTTGAAGAATTATTACAATATCAGGTCAGTAAGGTCAATTCCTCTTTAATAATGACTTAATAATAAATTCCTTACATATGATGTTGTCAAGTCTATGGTTTGACCATAAGTCAATTGGTCATGAAAGAGTAGAAGATTTTAATGATTACTCTAAGTCTTGTTTCTTTAGTACAGTACCATAGCATTGAATCTGAACAATGCCTCAAGAACTTCTTAAATCTCCCCCTTTATCACAGGACATCTCTAGTTTTTCCATGCAATGGTCCCAACATTTTCCCAAGATTTTTTTTGTGTGATACTTTGCCATTTGTAACATATATGATTAAGACATGTTTGTTTTCTGTTTTTACAGCCGAGTTCTCCGAAGTTGTCATCTGTTGGAAGGAAGCTGGAGAATTTGATGTTTGAACCTCATACCCCGACACACAGTAACAATATGTCTAATGGGACCACTAACTCATCTTTAACACCAGGCATAAGTTAGTATACACACTGACATAAATTTATATGTTTCTACATAATGCGTACATGATAAGTGTTCCTTAGAACTGTGTAGAATTTTTTATCATGCAATGAGAAAGAAATTAAATTTTATGTTTTGTTTTGACATCACCCACATAAAAATACTCTTGTAAACAATGGTGTATGAGTTAAATACAAATAGAATAAGAGTTCTATTTCATAATTGATTTCTTTACATTTCTTTAATCCAGTTTAACTAATGATAGTTTAATTAAGAAAGATAATTTTCTATTTTGTGATATGTACTTGGTTTGCACAAGGATTACCAGGTCTCATAGCAGGTTATTTTTTTCTGAGTTCTGTCTCAATTTTCATTTTGAACAGTTTCTGACCAATAAAATACATCATCTAAGTTTGAGCCTACAGAATTTTTTTTATAACCTTGGACCCAAGACTAGCAAATTTTTTGTCTAGGTGGACTTTTGTCAAAACTTTTACTGTACTGTTATTTTTAAAGAAGTATTTTAAGGAACTCCACAGAGGGAAAAAAAAACCCTGAAAATTTCACATAGCTTGGACACTAAAAACAGAAAAGAATTCAAAAGATTACAGAATTATAGTGATATTGCAATTTTTATCCCAGTTTGAGTTTAAATCATTAAAAGATTTTTTTTGATCATTTTGCACAATAAAAATGAAAATTCCGGAGAAAAAAAAATGTAGTGAGCAAATGATCTGAAATTTTGAATCAGATCTATATCAAATGGTATATAAATATCGAAATACATTTCCAGTTCTGTCTAAAAACTTAGTGGAGTCCCTTAAGCATGTTTTTCACACATTCACATACATTTACTTGATAAATTAAAGAAGTACCTTACTACATTGATAATAATGTAAGATTCTGCGAGCTGATCATGAAATTAATCTTTGATGTTACCCTTTCCATTGGCCAGATGTTACTATCTTTGGGGCATGATTCAATTCTAGCTATGACTTTTTGATAATACTGAAAATACTGCTTTGTCTGATATCAGATCATGATTCTGTTTTCAAATTAATGTTCAGTCTTTTCTGAGTAGTAGATCTAAAATATCTGCTTATAAACTATGGGATCTATCTTTTGTGTCTTAGTTATATTTTTTCAAGGTGTTTACATATGCTACCATCAGTAATGGGTGTCCAAGAGTTAAACTCAGAGTGATAAATACAAATTTTTGTCATTGATAATTGCTTTAACTTAGACATTGCTTCGGGGCAATGATTCATTTAAAACAATGATCAAGTTTAGACAAGGTTATGCACTTTTTAAATGTGGTAAGGTACAGGTGTCATTTATTTTTAATTATTTTAGATTTGTATGTTATTTGTATGTTATCATATAAAATATGATTTAATGTTGTGTCACCAGTCTCACCACCACCACCTTCCACACGATCACGTACAAAGTCGTCGCCGGCCACGCCTTCAACCCCGCCCCCTGTGCCACAGAGGAACGACATCAATGAAGATCTAGCGTCTATATTTAACAACACTTCAACTCCTCAACAAAATCACTTTACAAACAACAACGTAAATAATAATGGTGAGTTCCGCTTGTTGCAATATGATTCAGTTGTTTGTCCTTCAATATTTGAGCCGCGTCATGACAAAACCAACATACTGCGTTTGAGACCACCATCCGCGCAGTCTGATCAGGATCCATGCTGTTTGCTTACCAACTCTTTTACAAGGAGAGATACTTGATAGCAAACAGGATGGATCCTGATCAGACTGCGCTGATGGGCAGACTGGTCTGGATCCATGCTGGTCGCAAACGCACTATGTTGGTTTTGTCGTGACGCGGCTCATTTCTTGATTTGGTTTTCAAAATGACCCCAGAGTCCTCAAGATTTGCTGAAAAAGTGTCACAATCACAGATTTTATTGTTTACACATTTATGTATTTTGTCAACTGTGGGCCTGTACCTTTAAATGTAAGACCAGAATCTGAGATCAACTTTTATTTTGTATTCTTACATCTGGACAGAATATAAGATCACCCTAAAATCTTAACTAAATTTTAGGTCAACTTCAGGTTTGAACCTTTAAATTTGAAGTGAATTTGAAATCAACTATAGACTTGTACCTTTAAATCTGTTGAAAATTTCAAAAATTCTAATGATTAGAATCAGGTAAACATTATAAAGGTTTTAAGTCTTGTAGAGATGCATTTTCAAAATAGTCTGGAAGACTCTGCAGTTGATTGATTTTTGACTGTGTACCCACTGCTGTGTATTTTTTTTTTACATAACATTAAGTTTAATGTTTTAAAAGTTTTTTGTTGCAAATTGTGACAATATTTTGTTGGATTGTAAAATTGCTGTACAAAGTGCCATATGAATATTTCCTTACATATTAAGTTTGTCTTATTACCATAATTATCATTATTGCATTATTATAATCATACTTATGAATGCCATTTTATTGTAAATTTTGCTACAATTGGCAATCAAAACTTTGTTATTGATTATAGATATGATTTATACTTGGACAAAAGATTACATATGAAAAATCCCTTATGTTGAATAATTGACCATTATTTGACCTTGACCATGAAGGTCAAATTAATGAAATTTGATTAAAAGTGTGATAACTTTGTAATTTATTTATGAATTTGATTCTTACTTGGACAAAATTAAGAAAAACTTGAGTGTGGCCCCCAACAGACTGTGGCTCTTGTTTTAATCTTGAAGTTGTCAACTATGCTTGCCAAGGAGAATATTGGTAAAAAAACAAACATATTACATTGCAGTGTCAAATCCATTTGCAAGCCCCGGTGGCACACAGTTCAGTAAAGGGCCAAGTGACCCTTTTGGGAATGACATATTTACCCAAACCCCAAAAGTCAAGGGTAAAAGGGTTCAAAAAAGACCCCAATCCAATTGGGAGGGGGATTTTTAATACGGGTAACACCAAACATTTTGTCCAGTCTTATAGTATTTAGTATAATCATGGAATAATTGTGCGAAATTGGTTCAATAATACAGAATCAGGGCTTTTTTTTTACAGGTTGGAAGTAACTCTGCCCTTAATTGATTTATTTTTTTTCTTTTGTGAACAAATTGGTTGTAACTTTTAGAAAAGAGGATACTGGTAACTGCAAGCACACATAAGACAATTTTATATGTCCGCCTCCGTGGTCGAGGGGTTAGACTCGATGACTTCTAATCCAGTTACCTCTCTGGCGTGGGTTCGATCCTCGGGAGATGCTTTGGTAGTTTAGCATGGAGGAAGGTAGTCTAGTACTGGTGTAACTCTCCAGGAACGATGGTTAGGAAACTACCCGCCTATATGACTGAAATACTGTTGGGAAAAGGGGTAAAATGAAACAAACAAACAAATATAAACTAGCATTTTACATCTTCATTCAAACATGAACATGGCATAACTTGAAATATTATTTCTCAAAGGTTGCTCTATTTGTGATATATTCTCACTTTATAAGAAAAGATTATGTTAAAAATTGTTCATGCCATTTTCCCCATAAGTTTTCAGTAGGGGAAAACCAATTTTTTTTGCTGTTAGTTCAATTTGGGTTTTTACACATCGTGTCACTTTTATATTTATTTTTAAAGCAATATTAATTGAAAATTATTTCACATCTGTTTATTATAATTTTTGTACTTGCTGTCTTTCAGGCTGGTTTCAGTCATGGATTATCAATCGGCAGTGCTGACTTTGGCATGGATGATTTTTCCTCCTCTTTTGATTAATCAAAGTGCTTAAGAAACTGTGAAAAATATGAATGTGAATTGTGAAAGAATCGACTACCTTTGTGACAAATACTGTAGGGAAATGTGTACAGAGTCTGGTAAACAAGACAGAAATGCTATGTCTGATGTATGTTTTAATAAGCTGGGCATCTTTGTTTTTTATCAGCTGTTGTGTAAAGGACATTGTTGTGAAATGATCAGATCTATAAAAATGATTAAAACAGTAAGAACCAACATGTTATCTAAAAAAAATGGTATTAAAGATTGATCAAAATAACTAAATATTATTATCTTTATGTGATGAACTATTTACAAACATTTTCTCAAGTAGAAATTTCAAATGTTGTGAAAAGTGATATACATGTATGTAAAAAAAAAATCCTTACACATTTAATTAGAATTGTTGAAAATTGGTATAGGTGTGTTTAGAAAAGTTTTTCAAATATGAAATAAATGAATCAAATGGTAAATGCTAAGTTATTTACAAAATGTATGTCAAATAACTGACATGTTACAGTAACATTTCACATATATTTTTGTCTTGTAAACCAGAGTCTGTGCACATTATGTGTATAATATGTACATATAACATGTTTACATATATATAAACAGTTATATATACATGTAAATTTATGTTTATTGACACATGAAAATTGTGCAGTAGATTTTATCATATACAATATATAAATAAAGAGATTATGTTTTATACTGATAAACTATAAATGTCAGGTAATTAAGTTGAACATGTGACTCTATGAGTTTGTATTGTGATAATTGTTAACCTGTACCACCAGTATAAATCAAAATAATTATGGAAGGCCATTGTAACCAGTTTGAAATCAAAATAAATATTGAAGGCCATTGTCAACAGTTTTAAGCAGAATTATCATGAAAGGCTGTTGTCGCCAGTATAAATCAAAACTATTATGGAAGGCCATAGAGCACAAAGTGATTATGACAATTGTTTGCCATCAGTGTACAGATAATAAAACTATGGATGGCCATTGTTGCCATAATAGTGTTTGGCCAACTGCCAATTTCAAATGGTCTTGCATCACTTTTTGCCGTCTGCTGTTCAGTTTATGACATCCCAGAAATTGACAATGGACAGTTCCAAATAAAAAGCTGGATGAATCCATTGTACAGAATTAGTGAGGACAAGGAAGAATTATCATCAATATTAGTGAATTATGAATATATGATGTCATGACAACATATGATTGGTTTGAATAAATACTGAAAAATAAAAAGGACTATGTGACAGTTTGTATACTTTAACAATGGTACGAGATATAAATTTTGATAAAATGATAACATGTTTATTTTAACTGAATGCAGACAGACTTCCAAAATACTCATAAATATTATCATAGGATTGGAATGTGACTTGAAAATTTATATTGTTAACATCCTTATTTAACTGACAATAATTATACATATTTTATTTCATAGGATAAAATATGATGCTAAAAATGTTGAGGTGAATAAAACTGACAAATCAATACTTGTAACACATTGGTTACATGATGGAAATGTAAGTGAAACAATACGGGATGTACATGCATTTACAATATTGGTGGTAACAGTAAATCAGTATGATAATGTAAGATAATGAGTTTATAAGTTAAAATAAAAAAATATTCATGCTCTCATTGTTACAAGCTGTTTATATATACAGATGTTAGAATCGGGGTCTATTCTGATAATTATTCAAAGATAGTGAAGATAGGTCGTTAATTAGATACAATGAAAAAGATAGGACTGGTGGTTATTTAGATACAATGTAATGTTAAGATCTAGATAAGCTGAGTTTTTTAAAGCTATATTAGTATTTACATTGAAGAAATCAATACCACTGTTATATACTAGTATGTACAATAGACTTTACAAGTGCCCATATTTATAAACCATTGTAGGCTGATGACAACAGATTTTACTCCTGCAACCAGTGTAGATGTGTGATCATGGTCTGCACTGTTTGCTATTCATTCTATTGTTATTTTGAATTTTCCCCCTAAAAATGATGAATGGTTTTGTCCAGATTAAAAGATGGGCAAGTCCATTAAGATATTGAGCAGTGGTTTTGTCCAGATTGAAAGATGGACAAGTCCATTTAAGATATTTAGCAGGGTAAGGTTGAAACAAGTTCTTATTCTTGTACAGTTTGATATAGTGGTTATATTTTTATAGATTGTCAAAATGGAGTACAGTAATACTCTGGAATTTTTAAAGTGAGAATCTTTTTCAAGTGAAGGGTAGCTATTTTGATTTTATTACAAAAGATAAAACTCTTTCTGCTTTAAGCTGGGCATTTACTTCAGACTTGGGTGTGTGCCAGGGGCAATTAAGACTTGCTTATGCTACCAGTATAGAGCCAGGCTGGCTTGCACATTGAGGTTTTCTGACCAAGGGTAATGCTGTTTTGCTTCTGAACTTTAGCATTTAATGTAATTTTGATATTTTAAGATATACTATGCTCAAATCTGATGTTAGGAAATATTGATAATTGCTACACAGTCTGTTTGTAAATATAAAATGAACATGTTTTGACTTCACACACAAGTAGATATGTTATGTTTAAAATTCTACACACTACAGGTGATCACAATATGAATATATAGTGTCATTAAGAAATGGCAGTTTTTTTTATGAAAAGACCAACTTTACTTGACCTGTAATACGAAACACAGCTTCTCATACACAGTTTATATTCGTTCTTTAATTCAAATTACACATATTCAGTAAGAATTTCATAGATTTCAATAATTTTTGTGATTATAATATTTTACTCGAGGATGATAGTATATCTTTAAAGAAAAAAAAACAACCATTGCATTAAAAATGGACTGTTCCAAATTCAAGGCAGGACAAGTCCATTATACATAAATTTAGTGTATGATGTCAAAGCTTAATTAGCTTGTAATAAATATGGATCTGAGGCAAAATGTGTAAAGGCAATTACCATAATAGGGTATTGGAATTTTTTTTCTCATTTTTATCTTTTTTTGTGTTCATTAAAAGAAACACTTTGTCACCTATTCAGAAACAGGTTAACCCCTATTGAATTTGAATAGGAGGTAACCCACTATTGCACTAAGATGATTTGTTGTTTTGTTTCTTCATCTTTATTTGTTGACTGGTCAGTATATTATGTTTTCTTTAGATATAGCTTAGTTTATCTAAGGAGGAAAAATAAATAAGGAACCACCACCCCTCCTCCCCAAAACAATGGAACATTGAAGAAACCTGAAACATTTTGTACAAAAGGTCATGATTTTTTCCATTGTAATATCAAATTGATTAATAAGAAAATGTTATTTTATAGTTTGCTCAAGTGAAATTTATGTTTATGTTATGTGTGGCTATTTTTGTCAAGTTTATGTTCAAAAAGATGTTAAACCAGGGTTTTTAACTTTAACTTTCATGTTTTTAATTTTTCTCCACATATTTTGAGTTCATAGAACTTTTTTCTGAAATTTATGAAAACACTTACATTTTGAAATGTATTTTGGGTAAAATACTATGTGCTGCTGACACAAATGAATGTTTATGATAATAACCAGAGTTAACTCCCCTTACTTTTTTAATAGCTTTAGATTATACAAAATGCTATGACAATTAATGTAATGTAATATTAACTGTTTGAATGATATCACATTTTGTCTTGTAAGCATTAAGAATTTCTTAACACAACTACTTTAATACACTTCTCAATCACAACTATGTATGAATTATTCAAATATAATAATTTACAACCAGTTGTTGCTTCTTTAATTGTACCACTTCACCACAGGTTCTTAAAACAAACTATTTTTAATGTTCTATCTGGGCTGTACTATAATATAGTAATATAGTCCATATAGAAATAGTTTGTTTCAAGTACTTGTGCACTTGACTGTCCAATACATTTCTTGTATTGGCCACTGTATCATCCAATATTTGACAGTTGCGAAGGTACAACCTTTTTCATTCCGTCAAGGATGAAGTTGTTATCTTACATAATAGGAATTCAGAATTTAGTCACATTTTGTGTTTCCTCATTAAATTGGATATTGAATCAATTTGAAATAGTTCTGTACAATATGGAATATATCTAAACTCACAGTCAACTCAGTAAACCCTTGGACACACTTTAAATTTGCATTTACAATAATTATGTGTACTTGTAAAAATAACTTATTGTATAATACTGAATACATTTGAGTTTGATTGTGTTGGAAGCTATAAGCTTATAGTCACACTCTAGTATTGTCCCTGGAATCAACCATTACTGAGCAATGAGTGTAAAGTTTCTTTCTCAAGGTAACAGTCACTTGCCTCTAACTGGGTTTGAAGAGGCTAGAGATCTTTAGAGTACCAGTCTGAGTGGCCACCACATATACATTGTATTCCAGTATTGTACTGTTCAATGTGAAATAACCTTTTAGATATTGAATTGTAATGAGCTCATTGTTACCTGGTATATTGTCAAGTTATCTGTTTATATGTTTTATTTTTAATATTGGTATTTTTTCAAGAGATTAAAACTTGTTTTCTTATATTGTATTACAAATGTTCCACACAAGTTTTCAGTTAATAACAGTGATTAAATCATGTTAAAAAATTTGTGTGTATTTAGTTGTGGAAATAATGTTTTAAAATTTTTTTTTGACAATTTTAAATTTGAAAAAAGCTTTAATTACTTATGCCTTTATGAAATGTTATCCAAAGATTTTTACATAAGGGACAAAGTTAAAAGTTTTTAAAAAATCTCAAATCTCCAAAAAAACAAATTTTAATTTCAATTAAGTAAAGTTTATATAAAGAACATAAGTTTATCATAGTTATAATTAATAATTAACTGTTCTGGTATTTATTCAATAAACGTTTTCTTTTGTTTAAAGCGTTTACGTTATAGCTAAACGTTCGTGCAATATAAACACAATTTGTCAGATGTCTTATATTTTGGAACCAATATTGTTTC